CAAAAGGCTTTGGGTTCTAAGCTAAGATTGAGTTCGGCTTATCATCCGCAAACGGATGGTCAAATTGAGAGGACAATTCAATCGATGGAGGATTTAATACGTGCTTGTGTGCTCGAGCAAGATGGTGCTTGGGATAGTTATTTGGCATTAATTGAGTTCACCTACAATAACAGTTTTCATTCAAGTATAAGTATGGCACCATTTGAGGCTTTGTATGGTCAGAGATGTCAAACACCTTTGTGTTGGCATGAAACCAGTGAGAGGTTGATAGTTGGACCGGAGATGGTACAACAAAGGATAGAGAAAGTGAAGTTTATTTGGGAAAAGATGAAAGCTTCTCAAAGTAGACAAAATAGCTATCATGACAAGAGAAGGAAAAATCTTGAGTTTCAAGAAGGCGACCATATGTTTTTTAGAGTTACACCAATTACGGGTGTGGGTCGTGCTTTGAAGTCGAGGAAGTTGACTTCTCGTTTTATTGGTCCATATCGGATTACTGCAAGAGTTGGTGTTGTGGCTTACCGTGTGGCGTTGCCTCCGAATATTTCGAATTTGCATGATGTTTTCCATATTTCACAACTTCGGAAGTATGTTCCGGATCCATCACATGTTATTCCTATGGACGAGGTTGAAGTGAGAGATAACCTTACGGTTGAAGCTTTACCGATTAGGATTTTGGACCATGAAGTTAAGAAGTTAAGAGGCAAGGATATTGCGCTTGTGAAAGTAGCGTGAGGAGGCGCTTCGGAAGGCAATATGACTTGGGAACTAGAGAGTGGGATGCGAGAGTCGTATCTGGAGTTGTTTGAATCAGGTAATATTTTCGAGGACGAAAATTTCTAAAGTGGGGGAGAGTTGTAACGCTCCGATTCTGATTTCCCATTTTTGTTGAGTCTTTTATTTTATTTGGGTGATTATTATTTTATTTGTGGAATTGATGTGTTAATATGTTATGTTTGCATATTGTGTTATTTTATCGTTTTTGAGAGTTTTCGGGGAAATTAGGTTGGAGGGTATTTTAGATATTTCTTAATTAATGCTAAGTTAGATATTTTGTGAGAAAATGAGTTATTAGATATTTTGAGAGAAAATAATAATAGAAAGAATGAGAATAGAAAGATATAAGAGAGAAAGAGGAGAGAAAAGAAAAAGAAAGAAGAAAAAGGAGAGAAAGAAGGAGGAAGAAGAGAAAAGAGAAGAAAAAGAGGAAAAACTTGAAAATCTTCAAAACAACTTCTAGGAATCGATTTAATCGGGTAAGGATGTGAAATATTATTATTTCATCAATGTGTATCATTATGTATGTGTTGTTTGGATTGTTTTGGTTGTTTTTCTACATATTTCTATTTTAGGTCGAATTGGTTAAATCGATAGAAACCGATGTTTTCACAGTTAGAATTCAAAATAAATTGTGTAGTTTAGTCGAGGAATGTTAGGCCGAGACTATTGAAACTTGTTTGATTGAATTCAGGTGATTTCGTGACTTTTTGACATTTTTGGATAATTGAGGGTTTGAGTAGCGAAGTATTCGCTAGACGAATCAATGGCGAGTGAGGTAGCGAAGTATTCGCTAAGCGAGCACACAGTGAGCTGCCAACGAACACTCCCAGACTTGGACAAAACCAAAAAGACCAAAACTTGCTGGAGCGAGTGGAGTAGCGAAGGACTCGCTAGGCGAACCCTTATGCTCGCCTAGCGAGCATGACAGCACAACATTTTTTCTATTCTCATCCAATATCGATTCTTCGACTCGGATGTGATCAACCTTCTCCCGCAACGTGTAGCTTGTATGCTGTGGGTAGCCGTATGGCGTGAATCCTAGATTGTGGAATTTATTGTGAATTGTGGCCTTTTAGCAAATAAATGCGTTGTTTAAATTAAATGTAAATGCATGATACCTGTGATAGAGTTCGTTGCCGTTTAGGTGGTAAAGTGATGCCCGTTGCCGTTTGGCATAATTGATGTGAATGTGTATAGATTGTATGTGATGGTGTGAGATGAATGCATGAATATATTGTAAATATGTGTGCATTTCAAGAGTGTCTTGAGTCATTTTGCATGTGAAGCATAATGACGTACATTCTTGTGTTGTGTGATTCTAATGAGAATCCGTTGTAACGTCGTGTGCCTATGTGAGGTGTGAGCGATGATTACAAACGATTGTGTGCCTATGTGAGGTGTGAGCAATCAGATTGTATGCCTATGTGAGATGTGAGCAATCCATAAACATTGTGTGCCTATGTGAGGTGTGAGCAATGGGTGAACATCGTAGGCCCGACGGGGAGTTACATTGGTAACGAACGATGGTTCCAATAAGTTCCAGAGCGAACTTGAAATGATTAAGTCGGTACCGCATTGCATTTTCATAGAGTCGTGAGTCGGTATCTATGATTTACATTTATCATCTTTATAATGGTGCATTGGTGAACAAACATAAATGTGTATGTTTATGTGGAATGATAAGAATTGTGAAAGTATGCATGATGAATATGCTTGGTTTTATATCTATATACATATACATTGTGATATTTATGAGTGAATTGTGATGAATTGTGGTGAGAATGTAGAATATGTGTATTTATATGCTGAGATATATAATTATATGCATTGTTGTTATGATAATATTTCTCACCTTTCTGCTGTTTTATGATGCTCTATGAGGCATTGCAGAGTATGTATGCTGGAGGTCTTTTTGTGAAGCGTGTCTTCATTCTTTTGGTCGGTCGGCTCTGATATGTAGCACCAGATAGCTAGGATGTTCATGATTCTTTTGTGATACATTTGTATATGTATTTTGTTGGTGAATGTTTATGAAAACATGACTTATGCTGTTGAACCATACTGGATTATATATATATGTATATATGTTTGATGTTATTCAATGTTTAAATTTTCCGCTTTTATTCTAAATATTGAGATGTGGGTGTAAGGACTAAGTTCCTCTGTTGCAAAGTTACCCCACTGTTGCATATCTTTTGTTGAACAGGTGTTGTATGTTTTAATTTCTTGCGTAATGTGACGCGCCTCTTTTATACTATGTTTATAATTATACTCTGACGAAATTTTTAATATGTGACTAATTGTTTATGTGATTATTTGGGGGTATAGAAAGGGGGTGTTACACCTATAAATATCCCAATCACTCGGTTGAGAAAATACATTCAACTTACTCAACATTCACTTATATATAGAGTTTCTCACCATTCATCTATCGATTAGTTCTAATACCATAACAACCTTAAACCTTCTGACAATCCTACCTAACTAGAGATTGTCATTTATTGTATTTTTAGCAAATGCATATTTCAATTCAATAGCAATACAAAATACGTATTCTTTAAGTTCAAGCCTTCTCTTTTAAACATGGATTTGAGTTTTTCTTAATATGATAATAGTTGTGAACTACTCTTGTATAAAATAAAAATAAAAGTTAGTAAAAGAAATATGATGTATTTAGTTTAATATTAGGATCAAATACATACATATCTCATTTTGGACTATTTTTTGTTTACATCAACTTTAAGTCTTAATTACTTTTTTTTTTCGATCTTTATTTTATGAATTGTGTTTGGGGTAGGGAAAAATTGTGTCACATTTTATGGGCATTGAGTTGTGATTTTTATACAACATGCATACACTTTAATCTAACGAGGCGTCTTTTCTAAAGGGTAAAATTGTGAGAGTTCTCACACCTAAAATGGACAATACCTTGTAGCCGCAGTGACACAGACTTAAGATCGGCCAGAACATTGGCGTTGTCTGTGGAAACGATGAATAAAGCTTTGGCACAGTGGAATAAGCTTCCGGTATGGTAGAGAGGTGATTGACCTGCAAGATTAACATTCCAACGCCTAAGTCAGTGAGAGAATGAGAAGTAATACGAGAGTGTGAATAGTTTTGAATACCTAAGAATGACACGCTTTCTCTCTTTTATAGTGGGTGGTTTAAACCAAAAAGCGGACAATACCTCATAGCTACAGTGACAGTGACTTGAGATAGACTAGAACATTAGTGTTATCTATAGAAACTCAATTATTATCGTGAGTCTTAGTCTTTATTCGAGTAAATGTTCTGGGTTAGCCAAAATAGTTCCACATTGTTTAAAAATTAAGACTAGGAACAGTTTATATACAACATTCACATACCTCAACTCGATAAGATACATTTTTTAAAGTTTATATATAACATTCACATACCTCAACTCGATAAGATACATTTTCTAAAAAATAAAAACGTGAGAGTTCTTATACCTAAAACACATATATTGTAACTACAATAACATAGACTTGAAATCCACACAATCAATTGTAAAGATCATTTCCAGAATATGACTGAAAGTTTTAAGTTCTCATATTTTTTTTAAGTTTAAAAAATTATTCCTAAATGCTTTTTATTTACAAGAATAGATTTTACAATAATTTTTTGCATTTTTTATTTTCATGTCAAATGGTTAGAATCTTACATTTCATGAGTATTAAAGATAACTAACCACAACTCTCCACTCTTACACCATTTATTTATTTTAAATTTGTAATTAAATAATTTTAAAATATTCTTAAGCAAAATAATTAATTACCAAATAAAAACAAGATAAGATTCCATAATAATAATTCCAAAAAACTGATATTCCCATACCTTGAAATAAACACATCATTAATCATCATTTTAATTATGTGCCATATAATGTCTATCTAACCTATTTTTGTGGTTCAAAATCTTTTAGTCTTGCAATTTAAATAGTAACAACTTCACTAATCAGATCTAGCATAATCTGTTTAAATTGTCAAGTGAGAGAGAAGTGAGAAAACACTCATCTTGAAGACGACAATCAATTATGTATGGTTACCGGGGCAGGTACCTATAATTTAATTTTAATCATGCAAAAAAATCAATTTTTTTGCTTTTTTTTCCCTTCATATTGATGTATTGATGTATTGATCTGCGTTTGGTGTCAAACGTACAGTTTCATAGCCACATAATCACTTTCCTGACGGTTTCATATGGAGAATTTGATTGAAGCCAGATTGTATTTTTGCTTTAATTGTAGAAATCATGTTGCCCTTCACGATGATGTCGTTTCAAAAGCCTTTCAGGTGAACACTCACCCCCTTTTATCTTTTCATATTAGAGATTACCCTTCTTATCATCACAATATACCTAATTAGACAATCTAATCTACTATGATATGATTATTGTTATTGGATTTGTGTAAAAATCAGGTATTCTTACTAAACTGCTGAGATTAATCCCTGAAGTCAGAAAAGATCAAAATAGACGTAAAATTTTCAAAAAAAATCTAACATTGATTTGTGTCTAGAGTTGGCTTCGAACCAAAACTTTTAGTTTAAGTGAAAGAGGTCATTTATCATTTCATCAAATACTTTTGAGTACTAATTATCTGATTATAAGGTGAGGGATGTCTACCACGTATAAACTCAATTTCAAGCCATATTTTGAAACTATCATGTTATATCTTTTGGATTTGAATTTGATATATTTATAGTAACATATTTAGGCAACAAATTAGTGATTACAATTTGGTAAATTTCAGGGAAGAAATGGGAGAGGTTTTCTGTTTTCACATGCAATGAATGTTAGAGTAGGGCCAAAAGAAGACAAGGAACTGATAACAGGTCTCCATACAGTTGCTGATGTCTACTGTTGTGACTGCAATCATGTGCTTGGTTGGAAGTATGAAAGAGCCTATGAGGAAAATCAAAAGTACAAAGAAGGAAAATACTAAAGAAGTAATAATAACTTTTAGTAATACGAATCAAGTGTGTTAATTTGTTGTCTTTACAAAATGAAATACAATGGCTTTATATAAGCCTTACCGTTTCAATACAAACATCACATTATAATAAGGTAAAAATATAATAACCAATAGAAACTTATTCAACTTATTCGATTATTAAACATAGCTAATATGCCATTTCTATTTATAATAAAGATTAATATTAGTAAATATGCCAACAAATTCCTCCCCTTAAACTAAAATGCTCATTGAGCATACAGTTTAATTTTCAAGTGGTTGTACTCCCAATAGCCTTCTAAGTTTCACAAACTGATCCAATTTCAATGGCTTTGTCATAATGTCTGCAATTTGTTCTTTTGTTCCATAGAAAACCAACTTTACCACTCCCTGATTTGAAAGATCACGTAAATAGTGATATCTGACATCAATGTGTTTAGTCCTCTGATGCGTCACTGGGTTCTTAGAGAGCTCGATTGATGAACTCTTATCACAAAGAATATCAATACATCCACAATTTTCATCTATAATTTGTTCAAGAACCCCAATCATCCAAACACAGTGACAAGCGCATGAGGTTGCTGCCACATATTCAGCTTCAGTAGAGGATAAGGTAACGATGACTTGCTTCTTCGAGCTCCAACAAACCGCTGTCTCACTTAATAGAAACACATACCCTAAAGTACTCTTTCTATCATCGACATCTCTTGCATAATCACTATCAGTATATGTCAAAAGCTTTGAGGCAGTCCTTTTTCTAAAAAATGATCCAAAATCCAAAGTACCTCTTAAGTACCTCAATGCTCTTTTAGCAATATGCATGTGTTCCTCCTTTGGATTAACCATGTAACGTGAAATCAAACACACTACATACATCATATCTGGGCGTGTAGCTGTAAGATACATTAGACTACCTACCAATTGCTTATACAAAGTTGAATCAACATCTTTTCCACCTTCTCTTGACAACACAGTTCCATAAACTATTGGATTTTTGACAGAGTTACAATGCCACATATTGAATCTTTCCAAAACTTCTCTTGCATATTTCTTTTGGCATAAGTGAACTCCATCTTCATTTTGACTTAATTCAACTCCAAGGAAGAACCTCATTTTACCAAGGTCCGTCATTTCAAACTCTTTCATCATGAACTGCTTAAATATTGCACACAGTTCTTCATCATTCCCAGTATATATCAAGTCATCAACATAAATACTTACCATGATTAATTTATCTTCTCTTCTCTTAATGAATAAAGTAAGATCATGTTTACTCTTTGTAAATCCTTCTCGCTGGAAGTAACTATCAATTCTGCTAAACCATGTTCTTGGCGCCTGCTTTAGGCCATACAAGGCTTTGTTCAGCCTATATACCTTTTCTTTCTCTCAGTGTTTAATGAAGCCCTCGGGTTGATCCACATATACCTCTTCCTTCAATTCTCCATATAAGAAGGAACTTTTCACATCCAGCTGGTGCACATTTCATCCTTTATTTGCTGCCACGACCAATAAAATTTGAATTGTATCTTATCGTGCAACAGGAGCATATACTTCATTATAGTCCACCCCTTCTGTCTGTGTATACCCTTTTGCAACAAGTCTTGCTTTTTACTTATCAACCTTGCCTTCTTCATTCAATTTGGTTTTGTAAATCCATTTCACTCCAATTTTCTTAGCTTGTGTTGGTAGATTCACTAACTCCCATGTTTTATTCTTCTCGATGGAATCTATTTCATGTTTCATGGCTTCTATCCATTTTACATCATTAATAGCTTCTTTATAATTTGTGGGATCATCATTTGACATGAATAAAACCATTTTGGCCTCTTGTTCTTCTTCAGAGATCCCCTCACCACTTTCGTAATCTTGCAGTCTACTAGGTGCTTTTCTCTCTCTTATTGGTCGTTCCTTATGTTGCTTCTCTATTGGTTGTTCCTTATGTTGCTGCTCTATTGGAACGACAACATGAAGAGCAGCAAGATAAGGAATGACCAATAGAGCAGCAACATAAGGAACAACCAATAAGAGAGAGAAGAGCACCTAGTAGGCTGCAAGATTACGAAAGTGGTGAGGGGCTCTCTGAAGAAGAACAAGAGGCCGAAATGTTTTTATTCATGTCAAATAATGATCCCACAAATTATAAAGAAGCTATTAATGATGTAAAATGGACAGAAGCCATGAAACGTGAAATAGATGCTATCGAGAAGAATAAAACATGGGAGTTAGTAATTATACCAAGCAAGCTAAGAAAATTGGAGTGAAACGGATTTACAAAACCAAATTGAATGAAGAAGGCAAGGTTGATAAGTACAAAGCAATACTTGTTGCAAAAGGGTATACGCAGATATAAGGGGTGGACTATAATGAAGTATATGCTCCTGTTGCACGATGAAAAACAAGTTGAAGAAGGGGTAGACATAAATTTTGAAGAAAGGTTTTGTTGAACCAACTGAAGAAGATAAAGGAAAAGCTGATGAAAAACAAGTTGAAAAAGATCGTCAACTCAATGAAAAAGCTTTGTTCTTGATATGTCAATATATGGAGCTGTCTGTTTTTGAGAAAATTTTCCATGCCAAAACAGCTAAGGAGGCTTGGGAATTACTTATTATGCTTTATTTTCTAATGTTGGCAAAAAGTATATTGAATTGCCTTAATAATAATAACACCCTTTGTTTCTCACAAGCTCGCTGAAGCTTTCTTAACTTATAAATGTTTTTGTTTTCTTGATGATTATCATTACAAGTAATAACATGTATTTATAACAAATAAGAAAATGTATTTTTTAGCTTTTGCTAAATAATTTATGACTTTACTTAAAACTAGTTAACTATTCATGGCTTTGAATATTCCAAACGCCAAATTAATATTATCTAACATCATTCCCTTAAATTTGGTTTTTAGTGGCTTTGTAAAATTATCAACAATTTGTTCTTCCGAAGTACGATACTCCGCCACAATTTCTTTTTCTTTGATTAAGTCTCGAATGTAGTGATGTTTGATGTCAATGTGTTTGCTACGCCCATGAAAGACTGGATTCGTTGTCAAAGCAATGGTTGATTTGTTGTCGCAAAATACCTTCGTTGGACCATCTTGTTGATATTGTAGTTCACTTAATATTCTCCGCAACCAAACTGCTTGAGTAGCACAATTTGTTGCTACTATGTACTCTGCCTCTGTTGTTGACAAAGCAACTACTTGTTGTTTCTTAGAGGACCAAGAAAACACACCTGTACCGAGATGAAAAACATAACCCGAAGTGCTTTTTCGAGTTTCACTTTCACCTGCCCAATCACTGTCTGTGTATACAATCAACTCTGGCTTGGTAGAACTTGAATAAAAAATTCCTTCATCAATTGTTCCTTTGATATACCTCAAAATTCTCTTTGCAACTTGCTAATGTGATTGTCTTGGCGAGTCCATGAATCTACTTATAAGTCCAACTCCATAAACAATATCAGGTCTTGTTGCTGTCAAGTACCTGAGGCTTCCTACTAGCCTTCTAAAATTTGTTGAATTAACAAGATCACCACCACTTTCTTTTTCTAATTTCAATCTTTCTTCCACTGGAGTCAGCATTGGTTTACACGATTCCATCTTAAATTTCATCAGAATATCTACTGCATATTTCTTTTGTGAAATAAAAATCCCCTCATTTGTTTGCTTCACTTCAATGCCTATAAAATAAGACATTTGACCCATATATGTCATTTCAAATTGAGTGGACATGCTCTCCTTAAAATCTGCTAAAAATTTAGTATTGTTACCGGTGAAGATAAGATCATCCACTTAGAGCAACTTTAATGCAGGGTTGTTAAACCAAAATTCTTTATAGCTTACGTTAGTAATAAGGAATTTGCATTATAGTAGTGCTGACATGGCATATGGGATGTTCTAAAACTAGTTTACGTGCTCTACACAAGCAACGTACTCTAACTCATCATTTAACAAAAATAATACATTTTTATTAATTATTTAAAATAAATAATATATTTTTATTAACCATTTAATACCATGTGGGGTCAAGTTTTGATTTGTTATAGACAACCACCATTAAAGTAAAAACTACTCAAATCAACTATAAATTTTTTAAATCCTACAAATCACTTTGGACCCACAAAAAGTATCTTAGTTTACCCATTTAGTTTACTCCCACTAAAGATGCTCTTACAAGCAAACAATAACAACATTTCCATCCTTTTTTGCTTTGACATATAAAGCATGCTCATATGGACTTCTGTGGAATCCATTATTGATAAAATATGTGTCAATACGTGTGTACCAAGCTCTAGGTGCTTGCTTTAATCCATAAAGTGCTTTCTTCAACCTGTACACCTTATCTTTATCTCCTTGTAAATAACCTGATGGTTGTTCTACATAAACTTCTTCTTCAAGCACACCATTCAAGAAAGCATATTTGACATTCATCTGAAATATCTTCCATTAATTCTGGGTAGCAAGGGAAAGGATCATGCGTTCCATGTCCATTCTAGCAACCGGAGAAAAAACTTCAAAATAATCAATACCAGGTTTTTGTTTGTACCCTTTTGCTACTAACCGTACTTTGAAGCGATCCACTTCTCCTTTTGGATTGTACTTTGTTTTGTACACCCACTTGACTCCAATTGGGTTTTTTCCTTCTGAAAGTTTAGTTAAATCCCATGTATTATTTTTCTCAAATTCATGAATTTCTTCATCCATTGCTTTCATCCAACAATCTTTATTGGTTGCTTCATCATATGTCACGGGATCACAATCAGAAAATAAGACATAATAAGTAATTTCTTCCTCTGTATCATCAGGATCATCATCTCGACCAACTTCATAATCTTTCAAGTGAGGAGGTGGATGACGTTCCCTTTGTAGATATTTATGAGGTACTGAGTCTTGTGTTGGTTCAGTGGATGGTTCATTAACTTTATCATCTACTTCTTCATTTATAGTAATTGGTACATGCAATAACCCTCTTTTTCCTTTTCTAACCAATCCCAAGA